ATTATGGCTCAGCGCAAGCATTTTTTTATTCGCTCTTCAAATATTCAACACTGATCAGTCAATAAATAGTAAACAAACAAAATTACTGCATTATGAATTTTTCATAAACTCTGTTAATTAATATTATAATATATGTATGCAGGAAAAAAAGATGGTTAAATAAACACACAAAATGCTTAAACATACACTAATACGCTTGAATGTGTGTATATAGTTATATGTGTGTATGCATATGTGGGTGTCGCTTACAAAACCACAAAATTGAAAATGCTAATAAAATTGTGTGGAAAAACCTCTGTAAATATATGTGAATACATGTATACAAAGCGATGTGACGGCAATAAAATTACACGAATATTGGACCCTCGCGACTTTTGATATTTTTTAGCAGCGCAGCGCTGCTCAGCAACGTTTATTATTGATTAAATTTTTTTCTAAAATATATAAAACACCAAAGAAGTGTTGATGTATTTTCTCGCGGGTAGCATTTACATACAAAAACACAAATTTATTTTTATACACAACTTTTTACTAAACATTTTTTGCCACCGAATTGCCTTTGACTAACCCATAACTTCCGTCAAGGGATGTTAACTGGCGATGTCATCAAATATGCACAATGCAAGTGAGCGCTGAAAAAGGATGTCGATGCAAAAATGATTTTTTCCAACTGTCAATATTGGGAGCACGTTAACACAGTTTTTCAATCTTTTTTTTAATTTGCTCTTGATTTTTTATTTTTTTTTTTTATTTTACTCAATAGAAATATAAATTTTTGTAATTTTCATTCAGGCTCTTTCGTAGGCAGCCTGGCCACCACTTTTTTGGCGCTGTCCGTGTCCACATGTTGAGTTACAAGCAATGGATAATGTAATAAAATTTATATAAAGCAAATTAACGGTTGCATCGAAAAGGTAGGTCAGCTCACATATAAAATGGGGGAGTAAGTAGTGTATAGCCGGAGTACACTACACAGCTTTAAGGTTGCATTAATATCTACAGTAAGGAACTAAATTTTTCACGTATATATGAAAAATGTATTAAAATAATATTCCACGGATCTAAGTTCAATCGGGTCTCCTTTATCTATTGTGAATGCAAATACCATTCATTTACATTCTTCTGGTAATAAATGCGTTTGAAGTGGCGTGGCTTTGCCAATTTCGTTGAAGCGTTGTGTTCGAATTACAACTTCCGTGAACGAACCGGCAATCGTACGAATGAAAATTATGTGATGTGTGAATCGTATGAACGATATCAGACGGAATGTAATTCTCTTTCTACAAGACGATGAGCTTTACGAGTTACACAATGATATTGATATGATCAGCGCAAAGAAGGAAGGAATGGCGCGCGGTGCATATGACTATAAAAGAGAAGAAAGAGAGATGTTTATTGGACGCATTAGGGGTGTGCAAGTGATTATATTATCATGCTCGAAGACTCTTATTGACAAATTTGGACTCCAGCGTGGACAAGGCCATATATTTGTTAAAAAAAACCTTTTTCAAAACGAATCATTTTTTCAGATGAATATGCGACGAAGACTACCAGTGAACTGACCTATTGCATGGGAAAGCATATTGAATATTTTTAGGTTTTGTGAACGTATTAGTCTCTCACTGTATTTATTGTTATATAGGACGTATTTTAAATGCATGTTGTTATTGTTATGTTTATTCTATTATGGTAATTATCGTTTGTCACTAACATTTTATTATTATTTGCATAATTTTTGTTGGCCACATGCCAAATGCATATTTGCGCAATTGCACAAAAACGCAATAAGCATGTAATAGAAACAGTAAACAGTGACTAAAAGTAAGCATTATTTTGATATTTGATTTTTTCATATTTTTTTTAATCAAATTTTGGTTTCAAAAATACTCAAATAAAGAAAATATATGTATGTTTTCGAGCCAGTGACCGCCGCGGGGGAAAGAAAAAAAATCGATTTCATGGCGTTATAAAATTCCTTGCGGATGAAGTTGGTTTCTTGTACAGCAAAATCCATATACAAATATCATAGTTTATTTAAATAAAAAAAATAATCTCTTGAGGAGAACGCGAACCGGGGCAGAGGAAACGCGGTGACCAAGCCAGAACTTATCCAAAAAGTTTAGAAATTCTCCTTGACCATGTTCGACTAAAGACGAAACAACTCCCAGAAATAGTTGGAGAATCCGATGCAACTATTTCAAGAACTTCGCCTGATCATCTGGGCATGACTGAGGTCAGCATAGATGGTTACAGAGAATGCTATCAAAGGATGGCTATTAAGTCGAATTGTTACTGGAACCCAAACTTGGGTTCATTGTGATGAACCTAATTCGAAGCAAGAATCTATGTAGTTGCATAAAAAGCGCACGGTACCTCTAAAGAAGTTTAAGGTGACGCCGTTGGCTGGGAACTTATGACGATGGTCTCTTGGGACTCGGAGAAATTTGTATTGGTCGATTATACAGGTCAGCTATGCTGCTTTCGAACGATGACGCGCTCCTCTGCATATTTTGAATCACCCATCCTACCGGGTAGATTTATTATTATATATGTATATAATTGGCGCTTTCTAACCTTTGAAGCGGTTATCGGCCGAGCTCCATCTCCCATTTGTTATATGCGACTTTTTGTTTTTCCAGCAAATGGATGAAGCTACAGTTTATACTAAGCCACCTCCGAACGGCTGATGGTTTTTATGAGGAACTTTTATTTAATGTCATCAATAAACTCGGAGGAGTTGACATTACCTGCCAAGGGAAAATGAAAAAGAAGCTGTAGAGTTTCGGCGCAGAGACAGAGAAACCATTTATTTAGAAAAATTGTGCAAAAATTGCAGGTAAATATATTTAAAATGAAAAAAAAATCTTGTTTGTTAACATCCATTCCGCGAACATAAAAAAGCCGCCTCGTATAAAATCTTTAATCCCAGAAATATTTGCTTGGCGTAGTATTCCAACAGTGAGCCACTGTGTATGCACAATTAGAATTTCAGCTGGCATGATGAGGTGGACCTCCCATTAGACGGGAGGTTTCGCTGTCATTTTTTGGTTGGCGGCTTTTTCCCATCGTAAATTGTGGCTTTGGAATTAATTACACGCATTAAAGACATTTGCGTTAATTTAATTGTGAAAAATTTTAAAATTATTTATGCCCAGCTAAATTGCCATGTGTTGATATCACACAGTGGTCGGCGGTTTCATTTTTAGAACAAATGCATAAATAAATATTTCTGTTTTTTTTTACCTTAATAACATATTTTATATTTAGAGAAATGGTTTGTTGGGAAAAAATTTAATGAGGTTTTTTCTTTTTTAATCCACTTGAATAACAGCACAAAAATGATATAGAATTTTTTAGATTAATGTATTATTAATTTAATATCATTTTTATATATATGTGTATTTCTCTTATTGACAAACATGTAATCATCACATTTTTGTATAAATACATACATGCATACATACATACAAAATAATAAGAACAAGCGATGCATCGTCATTACCTATTTCATACTTATATATATATACGAGTTTGATTGCTACTTACCACTTTAAATGATAATTATGTAGAGCTATTTTAAGCTCGATTTATTATTTTTTTTTTGCTTATTTTAATGTGTACATATTCATATACTAAATTTTTGTTATTATTTTAATATTACTTATGATCAAGTTTAAGGGTAAGGCAAACAAATGCCACTTTTCATAATAAATATTATAAAACCAATTTAGTTCTAAAGTGTTCTAAGGTTGCATTATCTTATAAAAATGTATATGAGTGAACAGCTACGAGTATATTATATACTACATGTGAAGTAACTGCACTTAAAATGAAATGAACAAAAGATATGCTTAAAATTGAACTAAAAGGCAAGCAACTCAATACTCACCTTAGACTCTCAGACAGTTTAATTTGATTTTGTTTCTTTTTATGTTTCTTAAGACATTGTGCATTTCCGTTTTGAGCTACGTCCAACAAGAAATAATACCGACGGTGTTTCGCATAAATAGTCGTGCAAAATAATTAAAAATCGGATTTATTTATGATAATCATGAAATTCTTTAGAGATTCGCCTAAAAGAAACAAAAATTGCGAATATATAAAGAGTGACGCGCTTATTTATTTCCTGAAGAAATCACGGTAGGAAATACTGATGATTAATGGGAATTGTATATTTCTTATTCTCTTTCATTTTATATATACATATATATATTTATTTCATTTAATTTAATTTTATATTATTTAATTTTATTTTATTCTATTTTAACTTATATTATATTATTTTATTATATTTTATTATATTTTATTTTATTTTTTTTTATTTTATTTTATTTTATTTTATTTTATTTTATTTTATTTTATTTTATTTTATTTTATTTTATTTTATTTTATTTTATTTCATTTTATTTAATTTATTGATATTGTTATTGTAAGATGAGAGCCAAATAAACTTAATAGTTACAGAGATAAAGCCATTTGATAAGATGAGACCAAAGCAATTATTTAAAAAAATACATTTTTGTGTATGATATGCCGTAGTCGAATGGTTAGCGGTGTATGCTAACATGCGCTATGTCATGGGTTCGAATTCTTGCTAGATTGAAAAAAATCTCTTAGTTACGATCGTCCCTTGGTAGCCACAGCCAAAGTCAGACAAAATGTGATATTTCATTTTCTTTCAGCTCTTGCATAGCTTAGAATCAAATCCAAGCAATAATCATCTTTATGGAATTACTTCTCTATTAAGTTGTTTATTATAAAAGTAAGTGATTATTTCATTACATTTTTCAGCATCAGCTCGGCCCAAGTCCGTTTAGTTCATATAGACTTCGCTTCATTTCGATAAATAAATTATCACCAATTTGTTGGGCTTGTATGTATGTATCTATGTACCGGTATTAACTTCGTTGTGCCATTGGCTCGACAAATATTTATTTGCAACATATATTTATAAGTAAACGTAGAAAAGATGCATTGTTTGATATTTGTTTGTTAACCGAATGCATCGAGTGTAAGCTATCAGTACCGCCACGCTCTCTGAGACCTGAGACAATCAGTTGGTTTTAGTTATTAGAAAAAGTCAAAGCGTGTGAACACATTGAGGGAGGATGAGTAAAATAAGTTGATGACAGTTAATTAGAAATTTCTGAGAAAGTATTGGCGTAAATATATATATAGCGTCAGAATAGTGTCGTGTCATTCATGCAGCACTCAGGTAAAAGTACGCGGATTTTGAGTTTGTGTATTAAAGCGCACTCTTTGGCCAAAACCGCTACCAGTTTAGCATATATCGCGGAACTTTACAGTTTGTCGTCTGCTCATAAACAAATAGTTGCATAATTTGTAAAGATAAAAAAGAATTATTAATAAAAAAAAAGTACAACATACAAAAAAAAATTAAAAATGGTTATAAAGAATCCCAATAATATTGATATACCCGAATATTTGAATGAAGAGTTTTTTGTGGCAGCTTTGGAAGAAGGTTTACGTGAAATCAAGATTGCAGTTCATGAAATCTCATTCGAATGGGCCACCAAGCCTGGTGATAACTATTGCTCGCGCATTTATCGTGTTTCGGTCGCTTATGAGCGATATGTCGTGGATCAAGAGCAGCCAGCGCGTGAGCAAATAAGGCTCATTGTCAAAACTATTCCCATAAACGAAGATATGAGATTCCTTGCAGATGTTGGCGTATTTCTGAAAGAGAAGCAGACCTATTTAGATATTTTGCCGCGCTTAGAAATTCTTGTGGATGGTCAGAAATTTGGTGCTAAGTGAGTAAAACACACATATTTACATATAATTTATTCTTACTTAAACGAGGTCTGTACAAAGAATAGAGTACGAGTATATTTAGATTTTCATAAAAAAATATCTTTTGGTTCCCTCCTCCCTCACATGTATATATATGCTCGCAGATAATGGAATTTATTTCTCTTATTTGTATCAATTGCGTCTCTGGTATTTTATCCTCCATTCTTACCTCTCCATCTAGATGCTTTTATGCAGTTAAAGCCCCAATACAAACAATAGTTTTCAATGATTTGAAAGTGGATGGCTTTACGGTCGCTTCCAGGCAGGACCAACTCGATTGGGCGCACAGTGAATTGATCCTGCAAAACCTCGGGCAGCTCCATGCCACTTCAATGGTTCTGGCGAAGCGTGTGAGTATAAAATTTAATAGTGATCTAAGTGTAGTTAGAGCGGCCGGCTTGTTGTGATATAACAGCAATCAAGCTTCAGTTAATAGCAAAAACAAGTTGTCAAGTTGACATTTGAGGGATCAGGTATGAGTGTACGATGTGATGTGGTATATGATGTAAGAAGTTAAATTGCTCTGAGGTGATATGGAGTAGCGATATTGTGTAAGCCATCTGAGATGTTGGTGTAATGTTTTGTATGTGGCGTGTAATGTTGTGTATGATGTGGTTTATGGTCTCGGCGTGATGTCACATCGAACATGCAGTAATATGATATGATGTGATTTCACGAGAAATCAAAGGATGTGATGTGAAAGTTTCCTTATTAATAATTCTGTACGTATGATGTGATGTCACGCGAAATCAAAGGATGTGGCTGTGATGTGAAAGTATTCTTATTAATAATTCTGTATATATGATGTGATATATGATGTTGGCGTGATGTCACACCATACCTGCAGTACTATGATATGATGTGATGTCACGTGAAATCAAAGGATAAGATTGTGATGTGAAATGAATGAAGTGAAAAATATTTATTTTATTATCATATAAATTTCTTCCACATCCAAAATAACAGCTGATAATCGCTCTAATGTTCTTGAAGCAATTCTAACTCAACGGTATTTATCTGCATAAACCTCACAGAATGGTTGAGTAGAAAGACTTACTTGAATGGGAAAGGAATGGCGGTATGTGACCCAAGTAGTTAAGATGCTCCAGTGAATCATTACAAAAGCCAATTCATAATAGACCCCTAAACCGGGTTTTAACTCATCACACGGCCTCTGTCAAATATCAAATATGTATATTAATTATAATGCATTCGCACTTTTTCTCTTTTCCAGGATTCCGAAATAACCAAACGCTTCACCCTCGGCATGCTCTGTGAAGAGACAATAATTAAAAGTGACAAATTTTTTAATTTGTTCGGTAGCACGCTCAAGTCATTGGCTATCAACGCAGAGAATTGGCCGGGTTTCGAAAAGATTGCACAAAAGTTACATTACTTGCATGCGAATTTTAAGCCCATATGTGCGCATATGGCAGATCGTCGCGATAACGATCGCATTATTGTAATGAATCACGGTGATATGTGGACCACAAACTTCATGTTCGCCTATGATGATTCCAGACAACCGGAAAAACCAACGCGTTCGATATTTGTGAGTATAAAAAGATTTTTTTTCTTTACTACACTTACTTAACTATCTATCTTTGTAGGTTGATTTCCAGTTGAACTTTTACGGTAGTCCCGGTTGTGATCTCAACTTCCTACTGAACACAAGTATACGACTAAATCTGATTAAAGATCGTCGCGAAGATCTAATAAATGCTTACTATAAATCATTGTCGGAGACATTGGAGTTCCTTCATTACGATAAGATACCAACGTTGGACGACCTCAAGTTTGAGTTGCGTGCTCGAGAACTTTACGGTCTGTTTGCACTATTCGGATTTCTGCCGATCGTGACGATGCCCACAGAATGGTCAGAAGAAAAGGTTGCTGACTCTATGACGGATGAAGAGTTGCTGCAAAAGAAGTTTCAGAAATTGTTCGCCCAAGAACGTCTGCAAGCACAACTAAAGTACTCGTTGAAACGATTAGAATACATGGGTGTGCTGGATGAGTTTTATGTGAAATCCAGTGAAAACGGCTGTGTTTAGGTAGATAACAAAAAATATAAGAGTTTTAATATGTCTAATAGTGTAAATATGTAAATATCTAGGTAGCCAATTAAAAATATATCCGAAATATTCATGATTGTTTTCTTAATGACATATATAATACTATAAAGGGTGATTTTTTAAGAGCTATTAGAATTTTTTTCCAAAAATTAAATCCAGAAAAATGCATAGAATCTTTATTTGAATCGATAGTACGGTCCATATAATTTAATGTTTGAAGATTATTTCATGCAAATATTGATCGTGACTGCACCTCAAATGGTCCATCCGCTTATTCCAATTTTGGCATACTTTTTCCAACATTTCGGCCAGTACCTCACGAATAAATGCTTCAATGATGTACTCCAATGCGTCAATCGAAGCGAGCTGATCTGTTTAGACATAAGATTTAACACAGCCCCACAAAAAATAGTCTAAATGCGTAAAATCACACGATCTAGGCGGCCAGTTGACCGGTTTCGAACGCGAAATAAAATGTTCACCGAACTCGCCACTAAATACGTGTTACACGTGCTGTGTGGCATGTGGCACCATCTTGTTGTAACCACATATCATGCAAGTCCAGCTCTAGCATTTTGGGCAAAAAAAAAAGTTTGATATCATCTCACGGTAGGTTACGTTACGATTCACACCATTATTGGAGAGGTATGGTCCAATGATGCCACCAGCCCATAAACTGCAGCAAATTTTGACTTTTCTGGATTCATTGGTAGCTCTTACAATGCTTCTGGCTGATCTTCACTCCAAAATCGCCAATTCTGCTATTTACGCACCCATTAAGCAAAAATTAAGCTTCGTCGCTGAAAATTTTTTTTTGAACTTTCTTAATAATAATTTGCAAGCGTTGTTCGTTTGTAAGACGATTCATGATTAGAAAAGAAAGAAGATGTGTGAGTAAATATTCTTAATCGAATTCTTATTAAAAATCCATTAATAAATAAACGGCAAATAAAAATTACACATATTTTTTAGTTCCGAGTGTGAGATCATATTTAGTTCCCTTAATTTCCATTACTCGTATATATATATTCTCGAACAGAGGCAAAGTGTAACCGTTATTTTGTTTGTCTCAATTAAATGGCGAGAGTATACGGGATTACCTATACCAGAAATTCAAAGAGTTTGCCGACAGGGTTAAAAACAATCAAAAATAAATACCCATATTCTCAGTCAGAATTCGAAAATTATGTGTACATATATATTTTTTATTAACACCAACTCATCAGATATTAATTATGTTCGCTGATCAGATGGGCAGTAAGAATTTTTATTGAACTTTTTTGAATCGTGTTCGTTGAGCCGAAAACCCAGTAAAATTTGTAACGACAGAGCGGAATTTTGACGTTTATCTCTGACAGAAAGTTACAAATTCGCAAGTTTGAAAAACAGCTGATTTGTGATCATATGATTGAATTTTGCTCAACAAAACAAATTTTATTTAAAATTAAAATAATATTATATTAGTAAATACTCTTAGAAGTAATATAGACTTAATCCCGAAGGTCCGCAAGGCCAAGAAGTAAGTACAGAAGAACGGAAGTCCCCACAAACAAAAACCTGAATCACATTTTTCTCGAAATCAAGTTTTTCAACTGGGGACACTCTCATTTAGAACCTATTAAACTTATCAACAGCGAAGAACGTATATTATTAATATAGATATACTCAAACAATTTTTTGCAATTCAATCGGCTGATATTTTTTTTGGTACGAAATTTTGTTTTGCTGTCATAAGGCCCCGCTGTCCTACGAAAATCGTGTGAAATTCGAAGGAAGGTGTATTCTGGCTGTGGCCCTTCACTATTCACCTCAACAAAAATTTTCAAATTGGTTCACAGTTCTTTTCTTCTTTTTTTTCTTGTAAAGCTTCGTCTTTGTTCGCCTAGAGATTCCTTTACCTTCTAATGGGCATTGTTATTGGAGTCAATACTGGTACCAAGGTACACGAAATTGTCTACAACTTCAAATGCAAGAGGTATTTCATCTTTTCCTCTTTCAATATTACGTCCATATGCTGTGATTTTTTATCCGGTCTAAAGAGAGCAAAGCTCACGGTGCGGTTGTTGACGCCAATGATATCATATCACCTGCATACCTACGCTACGAGTATTATATAATAGAAGACTTTACCTTCTCTATTTAACTCTGCAGCACATATTTTCCTCGGAAATGTGTAAAGTCTCGTTAGTGTCGAACGGATTGTAGAGAACCTTCGCGTGTTGCTTAACGTCAGTTTACACAGCCGTATAAGTTAAGCGGGCATACAAAATTCAAACCTAGCGACGTAGAGACAGTTCCTATTCGTCCGGTCGAACGCTACTGTAAAATCGACGAAGAGGTATGGTGTGTCGATTTTCTTTTCGCTGGTTATTTTATGATCTGGCGCACAGTGGATATATATGTTAGATTTACCAGAAACAGTTTGTTGACGATGGGCTCCAATTAACCGGCCCGCTTACATACATTTGAATAGCTCGGCTGGACATCCATCGGTCCGCGCTGGTTTGGTATTTTTCTAGCGGGCAAATAAATAGTATACGAGCTTCTTCATAATCGGCCAATCAAATATCTGTTCCGTCGTCATCGATTGGGGATCAGTCGGTAGATCACCTCTTCATACTCACTCATATCGGCCTTGTTCTTTTTTGTCTACACATGCAACTCTCACGTGTAGTGGTCAATCGCAACGTTTCGTGGTAGGTAACCTATTTTGTCTTCACGGCGGCATAGCCTCCCACGCCGTACCTGCTGTTTTATAGCTTTCCGAAAACCAATTGTTTCGTTTGCAGTGGTGCGTAGCAAGCTTGGAATGTGTTCTCTTAAGCCGATACGTATCTTGGCATTACAAATATGCAGAATCCGCTGTTGGAAACAGAGTAAGACTTCCATCGGAAAGAAGAGGGAGAAGGAACTGACCTTTAGCGAAAATAACAATTTTTTATGAAAACATAGTTAATTTAATACTATATACAGTTATATTGTGCCTGATTACATTTCAACTCGCTTATTAACAAGCGTACCTATAATCATTCGCTGTATATCACTAGTGCGCGGTTAGGAACCATCTGCCAAAAACCGCAGTGTCGCTGCAAGTTAGATCACTGATGAGATAGACAGCTCATCAGCACAGCTTGTCTTCAATGACATCCAGCTCTATTACAAAGTCTTCTTTGTTAAGACCATATTGACATATGAATATACAAGTACACACAAACAAATTCCATATACATAGATCGACAGTGGAAGCTCTAGCGGGCTGCTTTTAACACTAAAAATTTAATTTTTTGGCTGTTTTCTCCAAATCTTTCTATCATCAAATGAAGGTATCATTGCCCAAGCCAATTTTTCTAATTCATAATCACAAATGTGTTAAAGCCGGTAAAAAATTAAACTGAATTGCTGGCTTTTGGGCACAAGTGAGCTTACAGCTGATTCGCAAATCGGTTTTGCTTATCTTCGAAAAAGTGAAATCAAACGGTTTCATAACACCATTTCAAACAATAATCGATTGATTGATTGTCAATTCCGAAAAATAAGCAATTCTGATTTGAAATGTTTAATTTATTAATGGAAATTGTTTATATTATGTTTATTGCTTGTGTCAATTAAAAGGTATGAAATAACGAGGAAATAAAGGTGTAAAGACTACGGCAATTATTTATTATTATTTATTACGCAATTTAAGGGTAGCGCTGCAAATATTAAACAAATGCCTCATTTTCAAGCCCACAACCGCGCAAAATTCGTGTAAATTTATTGTACACTTTACCTGTTAAAAATTTAACTTAAACATTTTTATAAACTTACACGATACTTGATGTGAAGCCTACAGCACGAAAGTAAGTTTCTAAAGGAATTTCAAAATCTAAAACTCCGAACGAAATTTAAGATCTTAAATTTAATGCACAGAACTTAAACCCTATGCTAAGTTTTAAATATAAGCCCCCAAAAACAAAAACCAAACAAAAACTCAAGCTCAAATACATTTAAATACTCGGCTTGTTGTTTTTTAAATAGTCGCATGTTCCTAGTGGCAGTGTAAGGCTCGTCGCAGAAGCCCAAAGTAATGCCGACAACGCACGGCACGTCTCACTATGAGATTTTAATTATTATACATTCGTCGTTTTCTTTTGTGAAGATCTCGAAATCGCTTTTTAGAAAAGTAGGCTTCCGATATGGAATCTATTTATGAAACGTCTATAATGCTCTTTGAACCGTCGGCGTTGGCGTGTACAAAACATCAATAGAAGCGAACTTTGATTAGAAATGTCAATCGCATCATGAATATATCCACTCGAGCTCTATGCTCGTATAGAGCACAAAAAGTTCAACAACGACATGGTCCATCAATTGAAATCAATTAAGCCAGAATGCAAATGACATAATAATTAAATGCAGAGATTTCATAAATCTGCAGAAGAATTAATATAAAAATGTCTCGCAAATGCACTACAAGTAATAGTTTCGATTGAATTGTGTCGAAGTAAAGTCGCAAGAGATATATTGGAAGAAAAAAATGGCCACCTTTGCGATCGGTGAAATACCAAACTATTTCAATACGGAGTTTTTCAAACGCGCACTAGAAAATGGCCTTCGTATGGGCGATCTGAAAATACAAGGTATATCCATTGAGAATTTGACCATTGGTGGTGAAAATTACTGTAGCAATATATATCGTGCGAATATCAAATATAAAACCAGCGAAGATCAGTATAATGAACAGACGATAATAATTAAGAATATGCCGAAACAGAAACAGAGTGTGCTCAGTCGTTTGAATATTTATCGCAAAGAGACTATTTTCTATTTGGATATAAAACCAAAAATGGAAGCGCTCATGTGGTATTTAGGCGAACCGTGGAATCTGGCGGCAAGGTTGGTTTGTGGTTAGTCGAAATTGAACTTCTTTATTATATCTTGATTTTGTCTCTTAGGCACTTTCATTCCACAACCGAACCAGAACAGAATATCATGTTTGAGGATTTGAGTATGTTGGGATTCACATTGGAGAGTCGTCAAGTTGGTTTGGATTTGGCGCATGCGCAAATCGTTATGAAGAAATTAGGTGAATATCATGCGCTTACGATGATGATGGCTGAGCGGGTAAATAAATATATTATATTTTATAGAACGTAATACACAGCAAATTCGAATATAATTGTTTCTTATTTTTCTTTATACAACCAAAATACATTAAAATAGACGCCTGAAATAATTATCGATCACTTCCCCTTTGGACTGCTGAACACAGACTCCATTAAGAAGGAAGCTTTCAGGGCTTTATTTGGCGCACAACTCTTAAAGCTCGCCACGCTCATTGCCGAATATCCCAAAATGGAGAAGATTTCAAAAAAATTACTAAAATACTACGATCATTTTACAGAGCGCGTTCTCGACTCTGTCTATCCGCTGAGGGGTGCAGTGAATGTCTTAAATCATGGTGATTTGTGGGTCAATAATATGTTCTTCAAATATGACAGCAACTCAAAGAAATTTAAGACACCAAGCGAAGTGCGTTTTGTAAGTTTTACTCAACGTACAATAAAGTCAGTGCAAGAACAAGAAAAGAAAACAATAATAACAAATTCAACTTACAGATTGACTTTCAATTATGTTACTATGGCAGCATTGGCTTCGATATTAACTACTTTTTAAACACCAGCATTCAATTGGATGTGCTAAAACATCAACGTGAAAGTTTAATCGAAGGCTATTATGCAAGTCTACTACACACCCTCAAAGCTCTGCCATACACAGCACCCCAGCCCACATTCGCTGATGTGTTGCGTGAGATTGCACAACGTGAAGCTTTCGGCTTTTTCGTTTCATTTGGATTTTTCCCACTTATGTCTATGTTTACTATGGACTCGCAGGATAACTCACTGGAAAAATTCTATGACGAAGAATTCGCGCGTCACAAAATCGAATTAATGTTTCAGAGTAATCCACGTACCATGGAAGCATTGTGTTATTCACTACAGCGTTTCGATGAGTTAAGAGTGTTGGATTAGAGATTCATTTATGCCAAATTTTTTTTATTTAGTTTTTTTTTAATCCAATGCGCACTATCGAGGTTTGTACTTTTCAGAACGATTGTCACTTCAACTCTTTGGTTTGTGGTGACTGCCTTACTGCAGCTATGTTAATCAGCATGACATCACTTAAGTAAATTAATTATGAAGTAAATATGTTATAGTGTAATTATGTATGTATATCAATGTTTTCATTAAACGCTTTCGTATGATAGAATGAAGAGAGTGAGAGGTTTCCCAAAGTTGGTGAATTAAAACCTGGTAGGTAATGCATCAGTCCTTTCGGGTAAGTAATTTACATATTATTTTGAAAATGAGTCCGGGCAAATGCTCGCCATGGCCGCCTCGATTAAATTCCGTTTCGAGGGTCGTATGTCGAATATTCTTTACCAAGGCGTCAACCGTCTCGTGCTTACCTGCGTAGACAAGCGAATTCGCATAATCCAGCAGTGTTGAGTCGAACGACGCGAGATAATGTGATCACCAAAAGTATCCTTCAATAAATTGATTTTTTTCGTTGTATGTATGGCATATAGCCTTGTTGAAACCAAAGGTCGTCCACATCAACATCCTCCATTTCAGTCACGAAAACAGCATTAATCATAGCTCTATAGTATTCTCCATTGCCTATAACATTATGGCCAGCTTTATTTTGAAATTAATATGGACCATCTTCCCGGCGTCTCAACAATGGCTTTTGGATTATCGTCCCTTTAATTGTTACTGTTTCGTTTAATAAACCAAACATTCATCCAAAAGTGAGCTTCATAATTCCCACTTGGAAAAAAGTATTACTTACTTATTCAGCCCAGTGAATTCTTAAAATTCAACGTCCAATCGGATCTGTTTGCACGAGAAGCGCTAATAAATAGTGAGTGTGGTTGTTAATAACTGTTAATCATGTGGCCCCCCCAACAAAATACATGATCGTAAAAACTGTCACAACAACGGCAAAAGACACTATTCTGTAGTATGGAATAATACGAAAGCAGAACTGCTACTGCTTTGAAAACTCTCCGCCAACAAATAATTATAATTTTGCCTACATTTAAGGTTAATTTGAAAATGTTTGGTTTGTGTGCTTATTTCAAGTTCTACGTTAACTAAATGTAAAAAAAAAGTTTAAATGTTAAGTTATACATAAATACATGCATACATATTATTACAAAAACGGTCGGCTAGATATAAAAATTAATCATTCACCCATTAAGTCATTAAAATATCAAGCACGCAAGCAAATAAGATGGATGGTTTTATATGTAAGCGTAAATGTTTTCTTCTTTTTTTTGGCTAAACCAAATATATATATAGCCGAGGTCCGAAGGCAAGCTCTTCGCCACTTGATCTATTCAACGGAGTAGAGAGCTTCATCTTCCTCTGCTTTAAGACGTTTACGCAATGAAGCCGTCAGAAAATATACAACAACAGAATGTATTTCTGATATGAAATAAAAGCCTATCTTCAATACCTATCAGCCGTTCGAAGAGAGCTTAGTTTAAACTGTGGGTCCTCGCATTTGTTGGAAAAATAACAAGACACAAATTTGGAAGAAGCAGCTGGGCCGAATATTTTTTCAGCAGGGTTATCTATTTTGCAATTTCGAAAATATTAAAAAGCATTTAAATTTCCCATTTCTTGTTAGGAAGTTTGAACCTGGGTATTAAATGTACGTATGTACAAGGTGTGTTCAAAAAGTATCGCGAATTTTGAATTTTCACGGGTTACGTATATCCGAATTTCGATTTTTTTTTTGTGGCATTATGTTGATACTCATGTCTGTCACTTATGCCGACAAGCTCGGCTATTTTGAATGTTCACTTAATTGTTGACAGCTGCTTTGCTTGCACGTGTTTTGGATGGCCTTCGATTGGTTTTGCTGACAGTTTTCTTCGATTGCAGGGGCGTGGTGCATCATGAGTTCTTGCCACAGGGTAGAACGGTCAATAAGGAATATTACCTGAAAGTATTGCGCGATTTGCACGAAGCAATCCGCCAGAATTGCCCGGATTTGGGGAAGAACAAAAATGTGCTTTTGCACCACGATAACCCCCCTGCTCACACATCGTTGCTTGTCCGCGACTTTTTGGCCAACACACTAATGATGCCACAGCCGCCGTATTCCCCAGATCTGGCCCCCTGTGACTTTTTCTTGTTCCCTAAACTGAAGAGGCCCATGAAAGGACGACGGTACGCTACGATTGACGAGATAAAGACGACATCGAAGGAGGAGCTGAACAAAATAAAAAATGATTTTTTGAAGTGCTTCGAAGATTGGAAAAACCGTTGGCACAAGTGTATAATATCACTTTGATAAAATAAATAAAATAAATAATTTTTGAAAAAACACACAATGCATGATATTTTTTGAACATACCTCGTAAATCATTACATCATTCAAATGGCCGCCTCGCAAACTTCGATTCGTTTTGGGTAATTTTGGGCGGTATCTCAGCCAGAACTGGACGAACACTGGTATTCAAGCGCTCAATGGCCACAAAAAAGTCTAACGGCGTCCAATAGCATGATATCAGTGACATCACCAAAACGAGAGATTACGTGACCCGCTCGTGTTGTGTTGCATAAGGAAGCATCTTGTTGAAACCACATATTGTCCAATTCGTGGTCTTCAATTGCAGAGCAAAAAAGTCGGTTATCGTACGCCCATTACTCCCCGAATCGACCGTGACCGGCCCGCTGTTATCGTTTTCAGATTAGTAAGACGCATCACCCATCACCACACCTCACCTCACACCACATCATACAGTATTTTTTTGTATATATAAAAGCATCTTTTCCATTATTTGGGGATTCCCAAATGCGACAATTTTGTCTTGTGAGAAATGTTTTGTTTGAAAAATCGCCGACCACTGCTTTAAATGGTCAGCTGGCTTCTGGTGTTGTGTGAGCTTTTGAATCACCTTCTTAGTATTAAATTTTAATGCGTTGTGCGATTGTTAAGCGATCCAACAAAACATTTGTTTTGACAGTTCAGTGTGACAGATGTCAAAGTACAGAGCTGTACTTTTGAATGCATGAAATGGATAACCCCATATACGAGTATATCAATTAGTTACTTAAGAAATATTAATTGTAATTATATTTACTGTCAGCTTAAGTAATTGTGAAAAATTTTATTATTATATAAATATTTATTAGTATAGATTTATAGATGTAATTGTATTTACATACATATACACTTACGAACACGTGTCTCAACAGGTCAATTTTTTTTGTAAATACAAACATACATAATATTGTAAATATATTAAAATTATCAAGTCGTTGGCGCATGCTGTCATCTACATATACATATCTACCAAGGTATTAACGTTAATATAACAACAGTAACTGATCACATCAAAACTTTTAGTCTTTCAACAATCATTAAGTATTATTCAAAAGAGAGAATAATCAGCATAAACGACCTTTATGTTTTTTTTGTCGATAAGAAAAATATATCTATTGATGAGTGCATAAGTTCGTGCCCGATTCCGCTGGATGCCGTTCGAATCGTTTGAGAGTGGCGCTCGTGAAAGAAATATATACATATTATATATCATTGGAAAGGTGACAGTCCGAACTGTAAATTAAGCATAAAATCATTCATTTTGATTTGAGTTGCTTAGTGAAAAGACGCAAGAAAGATGGACAACAAAAAAGATCATATGCGTCATATTATGTTATACGAATTCCGCAAAGGAAAAACAGTGGGCGCTGCAACTAAAGATATTCGCGAAGTTTATTTGGACCGTGCTGCAGCACTCCGCACAGTAAAGAAATGGTTTGCGAAATTTTGTTCTGGAGATTTTAACCCCGAAGATCAACCTCGCAGTGGACGGCCTTCTGAGCTTGATGACGATGCTCTAAGGACTTTAGTTGCGAATAACTCACGTATTTCTTTGCTTCGACGGATCAAAAACGAACCTTTTTTGGATCGGCTCGTGACTGGTGGGATATCCGAGGCGTGATCTATTTCGAGCTCTTGCCAGCTGGAGAAACGATCACTGCCAACAAGTATTGTCAGCAATTGGTCGAATTGAAGAAAGTAATTCCATCATGACAACGACAGGCCACATGTTGCAAAACCGACCATGGCCAAACTGACGGAGATGATATTCACCCGACATTGCACCTTCTGATTATCATTTGTTTCGATCGCTGCAGAACAATTTGAATGGAAAAAAATTTAAAAATGTGGAAGACGTCAAAAACCACCTTGACACCTTTTTCAACGAGAAACCGCGCGATTTCAATGAATCAGGCATCCGTAAATTGGTTGAACGTTGGGAGTGGATTGCCGAACATGATGGCGAATACATAATTGATTAATAAAAGTGCTTTCTTCAAAAAATTTCAATTTTAGTTTGCACTTGAAATCGGGCACGAACTTATGCACTCATCCAATAGAAAATACTATATACAGAAACATTAAGGTATATAGAGACGCGAAAGAATTTTTTATTCCGTCAGCGAAGAAAAAACGATCATCAATTCCTTCTATAACGAGACTGTCAACCAATGGTTTCCCCACTCTTGGTGCCGCTCGATGTTTTTGTTCTTTTTTTTTTTTGTGCGTTTGGCACTCGAAACCAAACATTGATTTATTGAAAATGTAACGGCATGTAACAATAATGACTTTTCGATTATCATCACTCCAAATACGACAACCAAAAGTGAGCCTCATCGTTGAACTTAATTTGCTTTGAAGGGATGAATGCATGCCTATCGATTTGAACCTGAGTGCGCTCTGCTCAATCTGTAAAAAACGGTGACCAATCTGCACCCATTAACGTAGACGAGTTCTTGCCTCTAAGGTAGAAAACTGTATACTCGCATATAACTTCAAGATTTTGTCACATCAGCACTTAAATTTGTGCTCATCCGACTTCTCTTCACCACATTCTATAATGCCCAAACGTAATTTTTCCCCCCGAATTATACATATATTTGCAAACACGAGTATGAGAGTAATCTTATACACAAAGGAGACGGGCTCAGACACGTTTATTAGGGTATCCAGAGAGTGCACGGTAAAAGCCGTAAACCAGAAGCTAATAGGTAAGCTGATTCCGACCATCGCTGATCAATGTTCGGTATAGCAAAGTGGATGCGGCCGCAATAGCCAAGTAGTTAGCATTGCGTACTGCCATTCGAGAGGCCAGTGTTCCGGTCCGACCGACATCCAAAATTATAATTTTTTTTTTTGTTTTTCTGACAGAAAATGAAAACTCCTCATAAAAATCCATCGGACTTTCGGATAAGGCTCAGCATAAACTGTAGATCCTCCCATTGGTTTGAAAACCATCAAGGCGCATGCTACAAATGGAGTAGGAGCTTCAGCTCACTCTTGTTTTCTAAAAATCAATTTCGTTAACAAAATTTAAAGCTCTGAAGTCAGCGCAGAAGCATTAAGTTGTACTGAAAAATGTTCAGTTGAAAAATATCAACTCACGCCAGCGTTGAAAAGCAGATAATAGTCGTTAATAGAAAGCGTTAAAATGCTCAATACACTGATATATACACATAAACTGCTTTTGGACATATGTATGTATGATATGTATAGGCATTTATCAAACGACGACACGAGATGCTGAATAATATTGAGAATTAAGTAATTTAATTATATATATAGTATATATTCATACATATATCGTATATATAGTAGTTTATAAAAAATAAGAAACAAACAACAAAAAACAAATCTGCTGTAAAAGCTGTTGTGAGCAACAAGTATTTAAGCCATTTGGAGATTGTTGTTGATTTTCAGTACATTGATATGCTCAAAGCGGGCCGGAACGTTACCATCAGTGCACGTACGGGTACATACATACATACTTGTATCTACTACAAGGAGAACGAGAACACAAATACGTATCGCAGAGGCTAAACTCTAAACGCATCAAGTTTAATCAATTTACAACCGAACAATAGCAAAACAAAAACAAAAACATGACCTTTGAATACAGTAAAGACGTTGTGGAAATACCAAAATATTTGGATTTGGATTTCTTTGAAGATGTTGTTGAGAACGCTCTGTACGAGACGAATGTGAAAGTGTTGAAAGTTCATTTCATGATGGGCAGTGCTGTGGGCGAGAATTTCTTAAGTATTCTCTATCGAATCAAAGTGCATTACGAGTTGTTAGACACGGGCGAGCGAGGTGAATTGTCGACGTTTGTCAAATGCTTACCTGTTCGAAAGGGTCTGGACTTTTTGGAGGAACTCAAAGTATTTGGCAAAGAGAAAAAAACCTTTCTTGACATATTACCAAAGTTAGGTTTGTTTCAAGAGCCAGACGCGCCCTTCGCTGGACGGTGTGTAAACAACTAATCTGCTATGTAAATAAAAAAGTTATCTATTGTAATATTACCTTTTTTTCTTTGGATTTAATGCACTTACAGGCTTTATCACTTTATGAAACGGCCCGTAAATTGCTTGGCCTTAGAAGACCTGAACACGCGTGGCTATCGTATGGCTGCGCAGGAAGTTGGTTTCGATGAAAAGCATTCGCGGCTGGTTATGAAGCGTATAGGACAATTTCACGCGATCTCTATGCATCTGGCTAGAAAGGTAAGAGCAATATTTAATTTTTTTGTTTAAAAGTTAAAAAAATCTTACTTAAAATTTTTTTTTTTGATTTATAAATATTTTAAAATGCCCTTTTAGTGCATTTATCTCTCTTTTTGACTCACATAACTTAAATAATCGATGTGGGAAAGAATATGAAAAGTTGGAAGCGTCTTTAGCTTAAATGATATTTTCAAACTCAAAACTCACCTCCAACATGCCGCCTGAATAGTGGAATCAGGAGGCAGCACTTCCCAACCGCAATGGCTGACAATTCTTAATTTTGTTGCATATCCCTGCTAATCTGGAAGGAAGACATTGCATCGTTTATTCTTTGAATTAAACATATTCTCATGATCGCATGGACTTCCATTCGGACTACATGACCTAGCCAGCGTTGCCGCTGTCTCTTAATTAACTGAACTATGTCAATGTCCTTTCCCGACGAAAGAAAAATAAACTCTACACGTCACTCATCGTTCCCGTCCTTCCATATGGTGCGGAAGCATGGACGATGACAAAATCTCGTACAATTCATCATTTCATCGACTGCTTACATTCGGTTTGTTGGTTTAATGATGGTTCCAAAAGAGTCGAAATTATCTACAACTTCAAAGTAATGATATGAAAGCCGAGTCTCGATTGCGATGGCTGTCTGTTTGATGGCCGGAGATATTTCGTGTTGTTCTCGGTCACTATTAGACCCTTACGCTTCGCTTCCTTATTCAATCTGAAGAAAGCAGATCTAACGTCGCGGTTGTTGAGACCAATGATGTCAATATCATCGGATTACATTAGATTGTACCTTGTTTTTATTTATTGTCCCTAGCAATAGATTAAAGAGGACACACTATAATTAGTCATCGCGTCTGGAACCTCGTTTGGTATCAAACGGCTTGGAGAGATCCTTTCTGGCGGATCTTTTTGAATTGTATAACATCAGTTTACACAGCCTTAAAACTTTGGGGCGACACCAAAATTTATAGAAAATTTATTTAAATAAAAAATTGAGTTAAATTCTCTAATTGCGGTCGCCCCTCCACAGGGAGGGTCAACCCTTCCGAGTGTAGACATGAAAAAAGGCTCCTCATAAAAAACCATCAGCCGTTCGGAGGGGTATTAGTATAAACTGCAGGTGCTCTTTTTGTTGGAAAAACATCAAGACGAAAAACCACAAATTGGAGGAGGAGCTCGGCTGAAAATCGCCCAAGCGGTTACAAAGTGTCAATTATAAACATATACATAATATATATACATATATATATATATATATATATATATTCGATATTGAGAAGTCTAATCTTATAATAATTAACACAGACTATAATCTTCATGGATTGGCAGAGCACACTAAAGTTTCAATCGTCAGGCATGCTTTCGTCCGACCATTTCAAAATCGCACATTGAAAAATCTGTTCCATTGTCATTGATTAGGGGTTCGGGTTCCTAGTGTTCCATTTTCACTGCCATTCAGCAGACTGGAGAAGTGTTCCCTCCATAAATTCTGTATACGCTGGGCATCATCATCATCCTATAGAAGCTTGCTCCGGTCTTGAAACCCTCTGTATGTCACCGTATCTTTCCGTAAAATTTTCGAGTATTACGCTCATTGATCAGCTCTTCAAACTTGCACATCTCGCACTCTTTTTTTTCGTGCATCTTGCTTCCCTCAATTTATGGTATGCGTTTGACTTTTTGCCAACAAATGAAGATACCAACGGCTTATCGGCCGAAAGTTACTTATGCGCTTAAACGAATACCGCAAGGTACGAACTTCTGGTTCGAGTTTCGGTAAACTCATAATCAGAACGCCTTTAGTAGGCTCTATATTAACTTACAGTTGAATTAAATTTACATAACTCCATGGTTACCTTCATTAATCGTATATGAAACTTTATCTCTCACTCTCTCCCTTTCTCCCTCTCCCTTTCTCTCTCTCTATCTTTCTATCTCTCTCCTCTCTCTCTTCTCTTTCTCTCTCTCTCTCTATATCTATCTCTAGGATCCAAACATACAAAAGGAATACCGCGATGGCTTGCTAGCCCGCCATGCTTTGAAGCCGGACGGATTCCCCTACGCGTTTTTCAGTGGAAACGCAAATGCACTGCTACAGCTCATCTCTAAGTGGCCTGATTACTCGAAAATTGCTGATAAATTACGAGCATACATAAAAAATATAGTCGACAATCTAGTGCGATCGCAAATTCCGCAACCACAAGATCTCGTTAGAGTACTAAATCATGGCGATCTTTGGTTCAATAATGTGCTCTTCAAATACGACGGAGAGCAAAAGGCACAAAATTGTATTTTTATTGATTACCAAATGAGTGTCTGGACTAGTCCCGGTATCGACTTGAATTATTTCCTTTATACCAGCGTTAGCTTGGATGTGTTGAAGACGAAACGTGAAGAGTTGCTTAAAGAGTACTATGGTAGCTTCCACGCCAAACTCGTTGAGTTGAATTACGAACCAATACCGAGCTATGAAGATATTTGTACTGAAGTACGATGTCGGGCGAGTTATGGGTTCTTCGCCAATTATTGCGTCTTTCCGATATGTACACAGGACAAAACTCAATCAGGCGATAGCTCTTTGGATAACTTCACTGGTGATGATTTTGCCGCCAAAAAACTAGAGCAAATATACTCTTCGAAGCGCTTGGCCGAGACGCTACGATATACACTAAAGGAATTCGACCGAATGGGCATTTGGGATTGAGGGGCTTTCAAACAACTGTACATTACATATAGTGTTTGTATTACCTTATTTAAAGTATTACTTAATGTTGATAAAAATAAAATGCATATCTAAGCTCAATTTCTTATAAAACTTCCTCAATTTAAGTTCAAAGAAATAGCGAAAGATCTCTCTTCCCACAGGAAATCAATCGCTAAACTCGTAAAGCAATCGTGAAAATTGTAATTGTAATTTACCAACAGCAACGGCGTACGAAGGCGCTTTGAAATGTGGGGCAGTACGCAAGCAACAGAGATCAAAACACGGTCAAAGTGGCTACAAGAAACACACTCAACCGCGCCTCCTTCCGTCGTTGCGACTGCTGATGCTCCTACTATTACTGAGGTGACGGCCGTTAGCCATCAGTTGCGCGAAATCAGGAGGCGAAGGTAGCACAGCTAGATTGCGGCTGGGGGTGGAAGCGCCTATTACATACTAAGTCAAGCCAAGCTAAACGGGAAACCACGTTGAACTTAAAACAAACCGAATTCGGGACAAAACAAAGTGAAATTGTATAAACAAAACAGACGGATGTTGCTTTTACTGGTTTATTACATGTACAACGTACACATGTTGTTGTAGTGGTTGAACTGATGTTGTTATTGCTTACGTTATTGTTGTCAACAGTGACAGCGACCAGAAGAACAAAACAGAGAAAGAGATGCGATGAGCTCATACAGATTGTGTTGACAAAATTTGAACGTGACCAAACGGTAGCAGTGGCTAAAACAGTGGCAAACAACACAGTTTAACAACAACAACAATGGGAACAACATTGGCGAGTGGCTGGATAAAAATATTCCAACAACCGAGCACAGTGTGTCGCTTTCCATTGCAAGTAAATTTTAGATAGGTCTTCAAGCTCAAATGTAATAGTCCTGAGTATGCTGACTATTACTGTTGTAGCGGACTGACGGCTTAGATTCGAATCAAACTATTGGCCGGATATTTCCGCCACTATTTCTCCCTCCGTAACATCCACTTTCATCAGAGAAGAGATCACAAGTACACCCACTGACCTAATTTCACTCTCCAGATCGGATGACTATAACAGCCATGCAGCGGAAATCAGTACATTTTTATTGTTTATTATGAAGAGCATGGGTATTCCAAACTCATGGAAGACTAATCACAGTTCTAATCTGATATTACGAGCTTGCAGTATGCAGTCGAAAAAATCCAAATATAACTCCAACGCTTATACCGTGTAAAATGGCACCTACATGATGCTAACCACCGCTTTAATTTTCCCTTTACGTCCCCATCTGACAACAATGGTGAAGGCAAACAAGTCCTCCGCGGTAGATCTCTTAGGAAGTTTACCGAATTGGGAGATTCTAAACCCTTAAAGACTATTAAAACTTGATCGGATTGTTTTAATTAGGTGGCCGTCTATCGTTCACCTTGCTCGGGAAACTTGTACTACAACTTTTAGGCAAGCACAGGCAGGCGTAGAAGACACAGTGCCTGGATACTTTGAATACACTCATCTACCTTTTAACATTAGAAAACTTGTATTTGGGAATAGGGAAGGGACAGATAGAAAATGTTGGTGAAATATTGAACAGTGGTAGACGCCTTGTTGACATGAGCGCGACCCGTACCAGCAGTCAAGTTGTACTTGAATAACGCCAGCATGGTCCGCCCACACCCGCACTCCACCCCGTCAGCACATCAAAAGCCATCCTCCACCCAGCCGCAACCAAACTCTACAACCACAAAGCGGCAACAGTGACAACAGAAATCGAATCGAATTCAGAAGAAACAGCTCTTGCCACGTACCATGGCTAGGCATTTAACTGATTGGGCTGATTGTTGGCGCACAAAACTCCAGAACAAAATTCAAAAGCCAAAAACAAAGAATTCCACAATTCTAGTAAATAAAGCCGACGACAACAGCAGCCACTACACGAGCGAGTGCAGCGTTAAGCACCAACAACAGCAACAATATTAACATCAATTTGAATTTAAGATCTATGAAGTGATTGCAAGAGCCATAGCAGGACAATTTCACATTCGAAAGTGGCAACACGCGAAGGTGACGGCGTCAGTGAGGCAACAACAGTGGCCCCCTTATCCGCAGCAGCCTCCCCCTCTATCGATAGTTTGCGCTTGTTTTGAGGCGGTATTCATTCAGACGATATTTGCTGCTAAGCGCTCTTGCGTGTTCCCAGAGCGTGTAAGTAGAAGCGCAGTGGTGGCGCAGGAGGTATATATATTTACATATATATGCATGGATCTACTAAGTACTATAGATTTCTCCGCATGCCGCTCCACCCGAGCACAATGAATGTGTTTACACCTCACGATACACGACTGGGACCAGCAATGACATTGTAAGCAACAACAAAAACATCAAAATTTAAAACAAAAGCAACCAGAGATGGCCATCGTTTGATACAGTAGCCAAGGAATCCAGCTGAGTCCTTGTCGCAATGTTGAGTTGAACTCTTGTTGAGGTGGCAGAGCAATTGTAGGTCGGATCATAATCGTTGCAAAAATATGCCCAGCTGCGTCATATTCATATTGTCATGACTGTGCCGAACGAATATTGCAATGATGACCACGACGACAACGCGACGACTGCTGATAGTGTTGAATTACAAGCGAATTCAACGTTTTACCGTTACAATGTGACGATGACACGGAAATAAGAGTAGAGTGCCAGGAACAAACAAAAATATGTAAGTATGTCGCATGTGCATATGCCCCAATGTATGTAATTGAATTGATATTATGGACCAAAGATTTAGTTTTTGCATTGGGAGAGACAGCAAAAAACTCAAAAATTCTCGAATTTATGAAATGTAAAAGCGATAAACGACAGGCCTCATGTACATTTGTTATACAACTGAACTTATAATTTTACATAAGTTTTTCCAAAAACTACCAAGAGGTCACTAGTCTTCGACCGATCGACCGACATAAATCCAGAAATCCAGCCTTCTTGTCCTTCATAACAATAGCCTCCAGCCTCAATCCGGCAATGCGATTGATCATAATCCATGAAATAAAGCTAAGCCCCCCTCCATGTAATTCTTCTAACGAATTGGAGGTCCTCGTTTTCCTTTGCTTTCACCAACGGGTCCTGTAGCGAAGACTTTCATATCTCAAGTGTTTTCATGTGAACGGACGATGTAACCTAACCAGCTGGTCTAAGATTAATCTAAGTTGTCGAGATCATCGACGTTCGTAGAGTTAAATTTGCCTGGAGTAAAAGAAAACTTATAAGGTCAAATTAGTTTGTTGTTCTAAACGTCTGCAAAGAAGCTGTGGCTGCACCTTGTCAGTTCTACGTCGATAATAATTGAGTAATGCAGGCATAAGTACGTCCATTATCTCATAGAATATTCGAACAATACTTATGGATTTCGAGGTGTCGCTGTTTAAATGTGTAAATGCATATCGCTTTCCTATTCAACTATTCAACTTCCGATCGATGTCGACGTTAAAAGATAGGCAGTTTTTTACACTGCAACGTAGCGTTACATAGCAATGCCTTTCACAGTTCGCTTATTTCAAGTTCCTGACGAGTTCTCCCTCGAATAGGAAATCGGCTTGCTTGCTGTCTTAGTTGTGCTCTTGCGAAAGCGTCTCGTTGCTGCGACGAACTATATGTCCTAACCCAGTACACCAGAAGAGGCAATCATGTAGTTTGACTAATTTACCTGTGTCGGAATGTGGTGCTTCATTTCTGGCCACCTCGAGAATAGTCCTTTTCCTTTCCCGTCGGAGCGAGAAAAAAGCAGCGATACGTTGAATAATTGGTTTGATGGGGATTGTGGCAAAACCTTCGCCATCCAGGGTGAATGTGAAAGCTAGGTGACGAAGTCTCACACCCACCACAAATCAACACCAAAGTTACACTCCTTTATACGGCATAGTGCATACAACAACAAGGACTTTCTTCAATGGTGGTGATGTCAGTCTAAGCAGTAGCACTTTCCCAATTGAGGGACCGGATATACCATCAATCCGCCAACCTAAAAATTTCGATTTCTCAACCAAAGGCTTTTGCTTTAAAAGCTTTTGAAAGTAAACGTGAAAATTACAAAAATATTACTCCTTTATTCATTTTATTTCATATGAAGTGATATATGTATGTAAGTCTGAAATAGTGAAAACAGTTTAAGATGCAAATGCGCGTTCCTAATTTGTGATGAAATGAGGAATCTTAACGATAAAGTAGCCTAAATATACGCTTAAAAACAATTAAAGGAAAAGTACTTTCCCATATAGGAGAAGGCTTAAATTACAAATAAGGGCCCCAACCAATATACATGGCAGCCAAATTGTCAATGTTCGTAGCTTCAGCAATCAGGAAATTCACTTGACCTTCCGTGGAGAGAGGCATGCTGTTGGCTTGTGTGCGCTTAACCTGAAACAAGAAGAATTAAAATAAAGTAAGGAAATGATATAAAATAATGTATGTACAACTGAGCGCGGCAACTTACATAACCTTGCAATCGCTCCTCAATGCGGCGCACATCCATCAATGCCTTGGGATCGGTCTGCTCCAAAGAGGGTTTGCTCTTGCCACTAAAACTACGATTCAATGCTACTAGATCGTAGACAAAAGGTCTCAACACGGACATCAAAGTTTTCGACTGTTTCTTGAGTACACGCATAGTGATTTCACAGCAGCGCCGATACATGCCCTCAACACCCAATGGACCCATGGCGTATACCATATTATGTGTCAACCGAAAGGGCACCAGCTCCGGGTAGCCAAACAGCTCACCCTGATTAAAGAGACAATTGAAATCTACATGGACCGCATCACCATTCGTTTCGTCGAAGAGTAAATTTTCGCCATGTCGATCGCCCAAACCGAGTATATAGCCCACCATAGACATAACTGCTACAGTCTTGACAAAAGCACATCGCGCCTCGTACCAACTGTTGGGGGTGTAAAAGTGACGACGTAACCACTCTTGGAAAACAGGTGGATGCGCAGGTAACAGAGTATCGAGAAACATGCTACGTTTCTTTTCTATAGACTCCGTTCTGGGCAATACACACTGACGTAATAGGCGATCTGGTATGCCCAGACCTCGCATACGGTATATCGAATTGCAAATCGCACGGAAGGAGTTCAGCTTTGGCAGCCACTCCACCAAACCGCATTCTTCGTTAAACGGTATAGCCGCATACGTTCGAATACGCAGACAACGATGGCGTGCCTGTGAAGTGAACAAAGAAATCAGTGTCAGGGTATGAGATAAAAAAAAATAGCTAACTTACCTGTGAGTCTTGATGGAGGAAACGCTTTACAAGTCCATTGAATTCCATCAAACGAAAGTCTTTGCGCAAATCGTCCTTCGGCTTTACCATCACATCGTAACATTTACCATCACTGCATTGGATGGTAATCTTCTTTGGCTTAGCTGCCGAGCGCAAAACTGTGATTTCCTCTTTAATACCGCAAATGAAAATTTGTTGGTAAGGAAATGGATTCGCTGGCACTATGCTTGGACTGGATGATGTAGAGGACGACGAAGACGACGAGGATCGCTCCAAACTACCCACAGACAAATTGAAGTCGAATGATGAAGAGGCTGATGACAGTGGAAAAGAAGCTTGCATGTACTTTTCAAAGGGCAGCAAAATATTAGAGAATTTCGGGTCAGCAAATAACTTGGGTAGCTGTTTAACGAGGGCACTGAGCTCGTAGGTGCGGTCATGGGCCACATCTTTATTCGTCAACTCGATCAAACGCTCGGCAAGTGTATTGAAATCGTTTAGTTGCTTTTGGAATTGAGGCTTTGCGAGACGAGCGTCAGTAAAGATTAGTTTGCAGCGCTTAACACGAGTCGTTTGCGACGATTTCAGCGTAGGCAACAGCATCCACAAAGATTGTTGTGGAAAATGCTCCAGCAGTTTGATAACAATGGTGCGAAGTACTGCGAATACTTCGTTTGATGGATGACAAATGCGACTGAGTAGTTGCGAGAAAGCTGTGTAGAAAATGGCAGTGGGCAGGGCGTTGGCGCAGTTAGTGATGAGCTCATTCATTCTCTTAGCCGCCTCTTGCATATTGTTTGCCTTGGCTGTGAGCGCCGGGTCACTGCTAGCTGCCTCGCACATCGATGCACAACGTGATGTGAAGTCCAACCAAATACTTAACAAGCGAGGCAGTGACTGGTATACATTCTCACAGCCACTTTTCAACGACTTGGCGTAGTTCACCATAATATCCAGCAAAAGCTTGCGACCAGTATCACCGTGCTGCTGCTCTGCTGAGAAAGACTCATAAATCCTTTCCATGTACTGCGCCAACTGTACATAGCACTTCTCCGAGTTGTGATTGCCAAGTATCGCCTCGCGAAAGTAACGCAAATTCAACTCCGCACAACTGTTCATTGACTCAGCGCTGTAGGTCGCTTGCAGATATTTCGCCTCGGCATAGAGCGCACGATCTGCGGCGTTGAGTGTGCGCACATTACGTTCGCACCGCATCTCCATACGTTCCAACTGCTCCTCCAGAAGTTTGAAGGCATGTGATTGATCGCCTTTTTGCCACAGAAGTTTGGCCTTCTCAATGAAAAGCGTCTTTGGCGCATACTCCGTCGCTTTCATAATGCAGAGGTGCGCTTGTTGCAAGCTGCCCGCTTCGCGATACATTTGGACGCTACGTAGCCACAGTTTGCCGATCTCGGCATCAATGGCTTCCACAACCTTTTGAGGGAATTTCGAAGCATCCTCATCTTTAGGCTGCACAGCGAGTAAGCGTTTGCTTTCTACGAGTAGGTTGCGCCTGAAGCAGAGTATTGGCTCCATCACACGCACAACCGGCTGCAACACACATAACCTCCGATCCCAATCAAGAAAGAACTCACGCACTTTTGTAAGGCATTGCTCGGCACTGGAATCTATGCCATAGCTGGTGATCACCTCATGCGTCAGCTGCTTGTTCTTTTCCATCTCGTTAAGTAAATGCAGCTTTACGACATCATCATATGAGTGTGGATAGGATTTCTGATTGACGCCAGAACAGCTACGCATGGACGACAGCACATTGTGGCGAATGACATCCAATTGTTGTGCGAAGTCAGTGTAAGCTGTACACTGTACCTGCGACACAGAGCCGCCACCGGGTTTTCGGTAGAGTAGGAAAGCCTCGGCACACTGTATGTTCCAATTGGATGTTTTTCGGCGCACGACAGAGTCCTCCAGCAGCTCTTGCAACTCATCATATCGACCAAGCCGCCACAGCAGCTCTGATTTGCACTCTTTAAAGTAGTCGTCCGTGTAGTGATCAGTTAACTTCTGCCAGAGGCCGTCTGTGATCAATAGTGCGGTTTCTGGCGTGTCCATGCGCAAATAGCAGTTAATCATGCCCTTTATATGCTCCTGACTAATCGGCTCGTCACTGGACATCAGCTGCTCATAGCAGGTTTGTAGTTCTTGTGGCCGATCAACAATGCGATTGACCATAATCTCCTCGCCAAGACTCAGTGTAGTCTTTTTTAAGTATACGGCGCCTTCAACCGAGTCTGCGTCAAGTAATTCGCCATGAATTTCTATCAGAAATGAAATCTGCTCCTGCAGACGCTGTTGTGTGTCCGCCTCCTCAATGTACGCCTCCAAGTACATAAGAGCACGCGCGTATTCATTTGAATGATAATTAGCTTTCGCTATTAGGAACTTGTCGAAACGGCGCAGAAAATCACGCACACACCTGTAATTTTTATCCTCCTCATTCACCTTGGTGCCGACACTATTTATTCGCTGCCATTCACGCGCCCAACGCTGCAAAAAATCGATTTGCTCCGAACAGAACTTCGTGCAGGTGCGTCCGATATGTTCCAGTCCATCATTGCGAGTACGCTGCGTTGACTCGCCCATCGACGAAAGGTCCGTGGCGTACTTGGTGGAAACAAACTCCTTCAGCCCCGTGGCTTCATAGACCGGCTGCTCAACAATGCCAGCGCTGCTGTAGCTAAGTACCGCCTCAAACTCTTCATATATCTTTTGATGTTGGGTTCCGCTGCCATCTTGTAGTGCGTGCAGGAGTATGTAAGGAAAGAATGTGACAAGGGTGCTATTGTCACGCTTAATACTCGGCTTATAGGAGTTTAGCAAATGTTTCGTTTCATCAGTTTGCACAAAGTCCATAAGACGCGCTGCCCAATTGAATGCCCAGTCTGCGTAGCTGCGGCAGTAACTGCTGTTGAATATTGGATGCTCGGTGCAGTTGCTCTCCCGCCTTGAATTCGTATAACACGAAGTAAGCAGCGGCTCCATAACTTGACGCATGCGCGCTGGCAACGCATCCCAGACATTCATCTTTTTCTTCTCAAGTGGCGATACACCGCACACGGCGAGGGTTTCTTGTATAGCCAAAGAAAAATTATCCACATATTTGGTATCTTTTTGAAACTGATAGGCGCGACAAAGCTCGGTGAGCGCCATGATGGCAAATCCATCCGTGTGCACACTCAGCGGCAAATCATCACGCTGTTCGAATGTGCGGTTCGTAGCTATATAACTAGGGTCAATGGCGCCCAACTCACCCAGGCATTTTGCTGAAGCAAGCTGCAGATTAGGGTCCTCGTGTTTGCAACCAACCACCAAGGTATCTACCAAGTTCTCAATCAGCGGATCCAAGAGCATTTCACTCAGCACCATAAGGTTGATATCGAGACGATTAGTAGCAACGAAATCTCGAAAATATGTGAGTCCATAAATCCGTACCTGCGCGTTTTCATTGGTGATTTGACGATAAAGGAACCCAATCTTCTCCAACAACGTCGAACGATTACTTTTCAGTATCTCCGTTTGGCGCGCGACGCACTCTCGTATGGCGGCTGTAACGCCCTTCAGCTGCTCCACAAAATACAAGTCTGGTATGTAGGCGCCCAGTAAACTGTCATTCTTCAATATCACAAACTCGTAGATGGCATTCACCTCAGCCTCGCTATGCACTAATAGCGGTTGCAACGAGGCTACAATGCGACTCAACGATGGGCCCAACTCTTGTATGTCCACAATGTGTAGAAAAATATTCCAAATCTTTAAGCATATAGTCTGCAAGTGGCGATCTTGAAGCGATAGAACGAAACTCAACATGGCGATGATTTTAAAACGAAATTGCGTGACATGTTTGGCGCCGACAAAACGTAATATTTGCCCGAGACTATAAAGCGCCTCCTCTTTCAGTGGCTTTTCGAAGGTGGGTTCGGCAAGGCAGGTCTCGAAGTAGGTTATCACCCCCAGGAAGCGATCGGCAATGAATTTCGCAAAATCACTAGTGCTGCTGCTCTGTGTTGGCACAAGTCCCGAGGATTTACTACCCGAAGCTATGGCGCGTGTACTACCAGTTCCATCGTTGAAGAGTAAACACTGAAAGGCTTTCATCACGAATTGTGGATTACGGTTAAAGTAGATGAGGAATTCAGAGACGGTTTGCTGCAGAAAATAATAACAAAAAATAGAAGGGTTGAGAAAAACATGTGGAAGCTTCTCACTGTGCGTGTGTGTTTACAGCCCCATGTTGAGAAATCAAATTGATGTAATATGCTTTAATTACACGATGAAGATATATGGAACAAGTTAAAGCTAATCGCTTCAGATTGACTACTCACAGAATTGTGAGCTGAAAGTATTCGAAGAAATCTTACGCCTAAAACTATGCCAAATTTGCAAAGACAAAAAGGATATATATTTAACTTTCAGCATTAATTGACATACTTTTAGGCGCAATATTTGGCAGTAGGACTAAAAACACCTTGAAAACGTTGGATACAGATGACCTCAAAAAACAAATAAATTGATGCGCCAGGTGACGCAAGACGCGGGATATGCAAAGACGTATCATTATGACCGATTTATGTTGAATTTGCTGCTGGTATAATAATCTATCCTCTCGGTGGTGCTGGATTGAAATTATTACAATGGTTCATATTAGATTATGACGTTTGCGACATTGAAAAATGCTTTAGGTAATTAAAAATGATTTTGTAATGCAGCAAGTTTTTATTTTTGGGTTTTTTGTTCGGTATCTGTGAGGGTAAAGAAGCGCAATTATTTTTGAGCAAATGCACCTCTTTCACATTGGATATTAGCATAGTTTTGGGCGCAGACGGGCTCACAACAGGAGTACTCCAACCGAATGAATCTCGGAATTAAAAATATTTGGACAATTTTTCAACGACTATATTGTCTTATTAATACCTTCTATTGGTTTCGTTTAATATGGATCCATAAAATATTTGGAAACTTGACTACTTACTTTAACATCCGTATTCATCAGTTTGTTTAGGCTGAAGTCTGTACATCTAACAATAAGTTCAATACATTTGTTGCCCACTTCCGCCTCTTCTGTTAGATAAATATGTGTGTATATACGTAGGAATGAAGCAACAAACATCGTGGAAATCGATTTTCGTGTCACTTTCGAAATGGAAACTATCAGTCCCTTGCATAGTGGCTCTTTCACACAATACGGTAGAATCATTGTGGTCAGAAGGCGATAATAGCGACAGATAAATTCTTGTACGCATGAAAAGCCTAACATCTTTGTAAACTGTAAAAAACCAAGTGATGTTTAACATTTAAAATAGAACAAGTTAATGAGTTTTCTTACAGCCTTAAGCGAACGTGTTAGACGTACGCCATTCTTCAGGAATATTTGCACTGCCAACTGCACGACCAGCGTAAGCGCATCACGTTTGTACCAATTCCACAAACGCACCGGCTGCAGTCCATGCTTAGCGCACATCTCCGAGGCACATAACACTGCCTCCTGCACAACCTCCGATTGGGGATGCAGCAGGTAGAAGAATGTAAGTTTGAAAAAATGAAACAGCCATATTTCGCTGATATCACTGTGGGCACAACAGGTAATAAGCTCTAATAATTTAAGTTGACTCTGACGTTGCGGGATAGGCGATGTGGCTGATGACGAGAGTGATGAGGATGTTGCAGCAATGGCTGATTGTGCTTGCAGTGACTTCATAATTTTCTGCAATAGATACGCTGCAAATCTCATGATAAATTGTTCATCACCAGCACCAATCAATTTGGGCAAGAGCGTGTGTACAATCTGCAAATTCAACTTCGTAATATCTTGTACTCTCTGCAGCACACTGAAAAAGTCTTCGAGGCTTATACGTGAAAATTCCAAATGGCGTCCCATGGGTGTAAATTCAGAGTTTCGTTGTGTGAGCAACGTTTCACATAACTTGCGACGCACCACCTCCGGCAATACTGGTATTTCTTTGCACACTTTTTCAGTTGGCTTAAACGACCTTTGGCATCCAACCAATATGACATTTTGTGAACGCATATATGACTCCAATTGTGTGGTCGAAGTAAAGTCGCTCGCATTGCAGAGTTGACAAATCAAAACATGTTTTTGGAAAGGTACATCTGCAGTAGACAGGGGAAATAATTTTAAGAATAGCCTACATGTGCCAGCACCAGCGCCGGCGCAAAAGCTTTTACGTAACATTAACTGCAGTATAGTAGGTACATCTTTCACAGACGCAGTAAAGTCACGCAAAACGTGCTCTAGCTTTATCCAACCACAAGCGATAAGTGTACCCAACTCCTCACAAAATGTGTAGCGAAATCTATTCAATAACTCCTCAGATAGTATCAATGGCTGCTCCACAAAGAGGAACTTCGTTAGCATATCATACACTTTGTGTATGCATTTGGCTACCTCTCCCGGTGTGTCAATATGTAGGCTGACCAGAGCGCGAAGTGACTCAAATGCTACTGCCTGCAAATGGCTTGACGGTTGGCGCTCCTCCGTTGCTATGAGCGCCCAATCACTAACACGAGTCAGTAAATTGATTTGTGATTGTGTATCTAGAGCTGTCCTTAAAGTAATGCAGTTTAATATTAAAGCTGAAACATCAAGGTATAAAACGGATAGCTCGTAATATCTAAAATTTACAAGCATTGAGGCTGTGTGGTAGCTTAGACAAATACGATTCAGTTCTCTAGTATATTCTTCATCTATTAATGGTGCAAATAAATTTATGCTGTTGTGATAATTTTGCGCCAAAACTTCATCCATCGATTGGGTGCGCAATGCATTCAACTGTAAACGACGGCAAAGCCGGTGCTCAGCATAAATGAGTATCTGTAACCAAGTTTTCAATTGCTTCAATTCATCTATGGTGAATTTGTGCAAAGTGAGCTTGTTGAAAATTCGGTTTTTAAAGTAGTTTAACACGCACAAGCGTTCTACACTATGTTCGTCTTGATGCGCTAGTATAACCGTCAATAACAACAGTACGCTTTCATTATGTTCCGACAATGCTACCAGTTTGTCTGCATCGGCTAAGATCACATCTTCCTCTCCCTCATTCAACGGTAATAGTAGGATGAAATCGACAATTTCATGTATGAGTTTTCCTAAATTTTTGACATCGTTTTTATTTTTTCCTTTGGGCTCCAGTTCAGCACAATTGTATAAGATACTTAGAGCCAGCATAGCGAGAACCCGCCGAGTCCACTGAAGCTCTTTACTAAAGCGCCGGAGTGCGCGTAATAGGGCAATAGTCACATCTTTCAAGCCATCCAATTCTTCTAAACGAATGCAACGTGCATGCAACCAGAGCGGCACTTGCGCCCACATTACGGCTAACGTCTGCATGGTCAGTTGTCCATAATGTTCCAACACTTCTGTACACTGGCAAGCCATTTCAAAGATTTTTTGGCAATAGCGTAGGGCTAACAGTTTTGTAGCCAAATCACATTCGCGCGCAGCTTGTAGTGCACTCAACAGAGACTCAGCAAATATTTGTGGAAATAAGGAATAACCAATTAGTGCAGCATTATGAAGTACATGCAACAGCGAACGTACTCTTTCATCTGCCAGCTGCTGTGGTATACAAATTGGTTTAAATGCAAATTCAGGATCAATTTCACGCAAGCATAAGTCATCACTAAAGAATGCGGTGATTTCGATAATTTGATTATTTCTATTACTTTTAGATCCAGCAGAATCATTGGTGTTAGATTCATATTGTTCGTCGAGGAGCTGCAAACCATTAGTCAATTGCTCAATAGCTTTGATATATGCTGCCACGAGCCGTTCGAATAGCAATGCTCGATTAACAATACACGAATGGAGAATTTTCTGTTGAAGTTGAATATTTGTTTCAGACATCCTAAAATATGAATTATTTATACTGACAAAATCACAGCAAACACTATATATACTCACCCGTCCATGCATAAATTATTACCAATACTCGTGGTGTTACCATCGCCTAGTCCATTGATAAACTTGTTAATAATCCAAAGAACAAATGTGTCTTGGAAACGATTATTTAGTTCGCGCAAAGAAGGTCGTATAAGAGATGGCTCTCTACAGAGGATATCATCAACAAAGGCAAACACATCATTTAAATCTGTGCCTTCTCGTGAAACCAAATTATAGAGCAATTTCCAGATATCTTTACGTCGCGTCGACATTTTTCATTTTCTTCTCTAGTTACGAACACTTACATTCAGGAATTTTTAAAAGTTTAAAGTTTTAAAATAATGGCGAAATTAAATAAACTCTTGAGGCGCCAAACAAATTTAAACAGCTGACCCAAATCAGCTGATAATGCAGTGTTGTACAAAGTTGAAAAGAATTTCAAGTTTTGAATATGATGTTTAGTATGTGAGATTTGTGCAATTTTTTTAAAGGAGCGTCCGTAATACTGTACAGTCCAGAAGTTCGGTCAAGGCACAGCAAGGCAGCTTCAGACCTGGTAAGTCGGCCATTGACCAGATATTCACCATGCGCCAAGTCTTGGAAAAGACCCGTAAAAAAAAGACCGACACCTACCACCTCTTCGGCGATTTTAAAGTCGCCTTCGACAGCACGAATAGAAGCTGTCTCTATGCCGCTATGTCTGAATTTGGTATCCCCGCAAAACGTATACAGCTGTGTAAGCTGACGCTAGACAACACCAGAAGCTCCGTCAGAATTGGGAAGGACCTCTCCGGGCCGTACGATACTAAACGATGATTTCTTCAATTTGATGCTGGAGAGAATAATAAGAGCTGCAGAGCTGAATAGAGAAGGTACAATCTTCTATAAGAGTGTACAACTACTGGCGTACGCCGAAGATATTGACATCATCGTCAAGTTTGATAAAGAAGCGAGGCGAATGGGTCTGGCAGTGAAAGAGGACAAGACGAAATATCTCCTGTCATCAAACAAACAGTATTCGTATTCGCGACTTGGTCCTCACGTCACTTTTGACAGTCATAATTTAGAAGTCGTGGATAATTTCGTCTACCTAGGAACCAGCAGGAACACCAAAAATAATGTCAGCTTTGAAATCCAACACAGAATCACACTTGCCAACAGGTGCTACTTTGGACTGAGTAGGCAATTGAAAAGTAAAGTCCTCTATCGGCGAACGAAAACCAAACTCAACAAGTCCCTCATCGTGCCCGTCCTGCTATATGGTGCGGAAGCATGGACGATGACAACATCTGATGAGTCGGCGTAAGGAGTTTTCGAGAGAAAGGTTTTGCGTAAGATTTATGGTCCTTTGCGCATTGGCAACGGCAAATATCGCATACTATGGTACCATGAGCTGTACGAGTTATACGGCGACATTGATATGGATTAGTGCATCAAGATGCAGCGGCTATATAAAATATTTTTAACAAATACGTAAACCACGTTCCATCAAGCAGGGAAAGAAGTAGTAAAAGGAAAGAACAGAAGAAGTTCCATAAAGCCAGAAATATGACCACGTGATTTAACGGCAATCCCCAAGGAGCTAAGCATAATGACAACTAGTCAGAAACAATAACTATGAAATTTGTGACCTTATAAACACGATACCAGATGTGCTAAATCAATCATATTTCAATCGTGCATTCCGTTGGATCCTTCCGCAGAGGTGAGAAAGAATAAAGTCCATCGTACTGAATCAAACCGGAGCCAAGAGCACGGACTGCCGAAATGATTGACTTTTTAGCAGCGCATTCTATGATGCGAAAGTTCGCGGGTTGGAATCCTAGTCCTACCACCATCAAAAACTACAGAAAATTATTTTCCAATTAGGAATGCCCCTCGGCAGAGAAGGTATTGCCAACAAATGGAAAGCTCAGAAGCACCATCAGCCGTTCGGAGGCGGCTTAGAATAATATGCAGCCCCCTTAATTTGTTGAAACGAGGTCTAAACATAACGGAAAATAGTTTCAGCACAGACCACACCACAAGGAAGCTTTACAGCTACGACAGACTCTCTATGAAAAGATTCAACCAACTATACAAAGAGGAAACGAATTTATTTTTAAATGTACTTTCAAATACAAAGTCATAGTTTTTATCATTTAATTAAAAAATATTTTTACTTTATTGACTTTGTTTTATCATAAATTGCACAATGGTTTGTATAAATTTTTACACCAGTATACAAAATAAATATATTTAATAATTTTAACTCTCATATTTATCAATTCATCTCACTTTTATAGACTTAAAAAAAAGAAACGTTTCTAAATAATAAAAGATCTTAAAAGTATTTTAATCTTCATCGTATTTTTCACAGGTGCAGAAGGCTCCAAAACCGTTAATTTGTTCTTAAAAATTCTCTTAATTGATATTTATTTCTCTATATTTTCTACATTTTAGTCAAATTTATAAAAGTAGCCAGGAAATATTGAGCATTCGTAAAATAAAGATTTTCGTGAAAAAGATGGTGCAGTAGACGGAGAAATGTGATGCCTTCAAACTCGATTACTTTAACTGCTGGTATACTTTGGTGTTCAGTTTAACAATTCTGGCTTTTTTCATGTATAGATTATCAGTATTTGTAGACACACACATTTTATTCATAACATTAATTTTACTACTTAACGAGGAATAAAGACTTGTTCAGTTGTTATGTTAAGAGAATTTCTAGCTCCAGACATCAGCAGAGTAACGTTTCTGGGCTTCCATTTTCTTAAGATATTGTACTGCATCAGTTTCGCTCATATTTCCCTTGGTCACAAGTATTTGCACTAAGATATTTCTGACATCCACGGCCATATTTTTCGCATCGCTACAAAATTGAAATAGAAAACACTATTCAATACATTTAAATTCTTAATTGTTTTCTGTATATTCACCCGCAAATGTAGAAGTGACCCTTATTCTCTCCTATCACATTCCAAATTAGATCAGCATCTTTTTCAATCAAATGGGTGACATAGATTTTTTCACTTTGGTCACGAGAGAAAGCGGTTTTCATCGTTAAAGTACCCTTCTTGATGTATTCCTCAAGTTCCTTAAATTAAAAAACAAATGCAATTAAAATCATTTGCAGATTAAAAAAGAATTATTCGCTTGTTATACTACCTCTGCATAAATGAAATCCTCGCTCTTCTTCCTGCAACCGAAATACAAAATTGTTTCTCCGACTGTTTTGCCTTCATCGCGAAGATGTTGACGTTCTTGAATAAATCCGCGGAACGGAGCCAATCCCGTGCCTGGTCCAACCATAATTACTGGTATCTCTGGTTTTGTTGGTAGCCTGAATTGTGACTTGCGTATAAAGACCGGTACGCGTACATCTTCTTGTCCAGGGATTTTATTTTTCAAAAATGACGTGGCCACGCCTTTATTAATGCGTCCAGTAGGTGTTTTATATTGTACTAAAACGGCAGTAACATGCACATGATTTGGATACAACTGAAATTGTTAGAGAATATTTATTATCTGACTTTAATTGTTTCAAATTTAATTTACCTTGGATGATGACGATATTGAATAATAGCGCGGCTGTAAACGAGGCAACAGTTCACAAATATGGTCAATAGGTGGCCGGCATGATTTGATATCTTCCAAAATGTGCACAATATTTCTGCAAGCATCTTGTATCCAACTCTGATACTTCTCCTTGCCTTCGGGTGTAATGGAAGACATGCTACGTAAGACTTCTTTATCAGCATCGTCAGTGCAATATTCAGCCAATTCTTTGAGTATGTGCGTTCTTGGTATGGCAGTAATTTCCAAGTAATGCTTCAAAGCAGTGCGATAAGTGGTGGGACATGGAAACGGGTGTTTCTTACTGCTGTCGGTATCTGTGTTAATCAACGAGAATACGGTGTCGAGGTCGGCATTACAGAGCTTGCCTAATTTTTCAACAATTTCGGTATCATTAACAGGATACATGGCAACATGATCACCGGCATCGTAACGCATTTTCGAACCAGTGATATCTAACTCGATATGCATGCACGAACGATCGCCACCTTTGTGTAATTCCCTGTTGACAATGATTGGTGCAAGGAATGGATTTTTGGCATCGAATGGAGGACGTTGATTTTGTAATGAGTGCAATCGAGCAATCTCGCCGGTATACACGCGATCGGGTTGTACATTTGGTTGTTCCAATAAGCGAAACTGACGCATTAACACTTCTTCGCCACCACCCTCAATTCCGAAGAAGTCACAAACAGCAGGCCAAAAGCGGTCTTTCCATGTAATAAAATCATCTTCAATACTAAAAGAAATTTCAAAAAAGTGTTAATAACGAATGACTAGAGAAAAAATATTATTGGCACAAAATACGTACTTTGCATCGTCATCGCCAAGGCCAAGTTCGAAAACACGTGTGGCGCCAAGTTCCTCCAATCGTTGGTCTACATAAATTGCCATTTTGTTGTAGTGCTCATAGGTTTTGTTGCCAAGGCCGAACACCTATACAATGTAACAGATTAATTAAAATGAAATTAACGGGGTGTGGCTCTTATCAAATATTAGCTTAACATTTTATTGAGGTAATAAATTACCCGTGAGTGCAATTTGTTTAGATCAACTTTGCTATTACATAAATAATCTAATATGACACCGTTTTCGTGAAACCTCAGCCGCTCCATGGATGCTATGAAAGGCACATACTTGCCCCATCGGTACGTCGCACCCAAACGTAACATCTTGAATTAAGAAAATTTTATGATGGCATGTCCTTCAGCTACCATAAATCATACTAGCTCAAAATATTTGTTTAAAAAAGACAGTATCTAAACTTTAATTTAAAAAATCCACTAAAACTTCAGCCCGGAGCACATTGTGCATTTGACAACCACTTATACAGACAGCTGACTACATCAGCTGCTAATTAGATAAGCTGTTATCAGCTGTGTCAATTGTCACAACTATGTAATAAGAACGTGAAATAGATGGCGCTCTTGTCTAATTCCTACAACTAATAACTAGCGTTTTTTTTCTAGCAATGAATTTGAAGAACTATTCAGTTTTCTTTGCTTTAAACTAATTTTAAATACATATATTTAAATTTAAAGCGACTTGAGGAAGCGTTATCGAGAATCTGCTTAAAAATCAATACATGTTTTAAGCACAGAAAATCTTAATTTCAGCACAAATTGCTCATTACTTTTTCTTCTCTTCATTTTAAAATGCAAGAAAAAACTACTTCAATACATATGTAAGTATTCGCGTGTGTACCTAATATTTATTTTAAATTATTTTCAAATCATGCAGTTTTTTGAAGAGAAAAAAATTAAAAAACTACTTAAAGCGTTTTTATACTTACCGCATAATTCAAGCCATTAAAATCGGCATCGCCATTTGAAAGCCACTCAAAGAATTCCATCGCATTATCGGTAGGATCACCCTCACCATACGTGGCCAAACAGAATACTGCCAAGGAATTAGGAATGTCTTTCAATTGCAAAAGTTCTTCCTATATACAGATAAAGACTTATATAAATAAAATAAACTGCATTCACAAAAAAAAAAAACGTTCAAATACATTCGTAAATATAAATTCGAATGCATCACACACTTCAAAGCAATGAACGAAAAGATTAAGCTAAATAGTGTAAAATTAAAGAAATGTATCGAAATTACCATATCACATTCTTCCGGATCCGCAACCATACCCTTCATTCGATAACGAATGCCCTCTTTGGCTAAACGACCGGCAAACTCTTCGCCAGTACCGGTTTGAGAGCCATAAAATACGACCAAACTGCGACCGGATGCTTTCAGTTTTTTGATGAATGAATTATCGGATGAGATTGTCGTGCTAACTGTGGTTGGCCTAATGGGAAAAATGAGCAAATGGTTTAACAATTTTATATATTTCTATCATATACATATATAATTATCTTCTAAATTCTTACTGTATGGAGTAGGAGCGAATAGGTTCCTCTTCCTTCTTGCGACTACGCATAAAATACCAAGTGGCACCTGCAATTAAGGCCACCAACAATGCAATATCCAGTGTACCCAAAAATGGTTCATCACCGGCGGGAATGTTTTCGACCTTTTCAGCTGACATATTGATTACTGGAAGAGAAGAAAAAATATCAATTTGTATATTACAAATATAATAGTAATATAAACATAAATGCGAGCTATTAAAATTTTTTCAAATTACCAAACGATATGTAAATGGATGGTACTTCAGAGTAAATAGTTCTATCAATCTATATGTATTCTCACACATATGTAAGTACTGACGTAGATATATCGGCATACATACGAGTATATACAAATAAAATACAGAGTATTTATGTGCACACGTATTTAAGTTTATATGCAAATGCAAAAATAAATATGCAACGTGTTAATGTTCCAACACTCCAGGCACGGATGGTTTTGCGTTTTATGTGTGCTAAATAGCCTAGCTTACGCATTATATATGCCACGTAAGCACTTTTAGTTGGAAGTGAAGCTAAGAAAAAAGTGAACTTACAAATAGTAACGTGATCTAGACAGTGTTGTTGACTATAATAAAATCGAGAAGGGAAGAAATTATTAAATTATAAAAAGATATTTTTTATAAAGTTACGAATTACGGTCTTAGCGATTGGCAAAGTTATTTAATTCCTATTTTATTCAAATAAGGATCACAAAAAATTAAAAAGTAGAAACAGGAAGTGAAATAAAATTCTAAAAGCCGTTATAATTAAAATATCAACAGCAATCAAGAAAACTTATGAAAGATCACTTCAATGCTGAGCAATTAAATTATTTACATATGTGTGTTTGTATACTCGTATATGCAATTATTACAACAAGTTTACTATTGACAATGAAATATGAGTCGTAAAATAAACGCTTCAAATCGGTGTTATTGACATTGAATATGATCAGAGTAATTTTCATGCGAAATATACAAAGTAAAGCAAGAGATTTTGTAAGTGCATACATATATGTACATATAGTTTTCCCAATTAAATATATTATATTATATAAAATATGAAAATGTCAACAAAAATTATAGTTTTGACTTTACTAAAAATATTTTTGTTAGCAAGTTGTTGGCTAATTTCAACTTTTTTCAAAATCGTTTTCAAAAATTGTTAAATGAGTAAATTTTCAGTACTTTCGGTATAAGGTAAAATATTTTTTTGGTAATAAAATCTCTTAAAAACTGCCCACTAGGTTCCATTTCAAATATGATTGTCTCAACTCAAGTCAAGAGAGATCACTGTGCATATATGCAAGTTTATATTAGCCATTAATAGCAAATCAAACAAGTCAAAAGCGTGGCGTAGAGTTTTGCTAAATGGAGTAATAAGCAGAAATGCTTTTCAACACGATTGCAATATTTTCAAGTAAAAAAAAGTTAAAACCACGAAAAGCGTGATATGGAATTTAAAAAATGCATTAAAAAAGAGAAAACAGTAAAATTATTTCCTAATATTTCTCCGACTTATTTTTTTAACATATTTATATTAATTATTGGTTTTGCTTCAACGTGGGCCTGTGGTGTGGTCCCAAAGATCGTGCGATTTAACATCGCTGTATGATTTTCTAATAATTTGCCCGAAATCAGTTTTAAAACATAAGGGCAAACCATTATCTTTATAATAAAGCTAAATTCTTCACCATATCATTATATTACTCGTATTTTATTTCTTCTTCAAATCCATATGCCTAAAAAAAATAAAATTTTAAGAGATGAAAATGTGAAAATAAGACCAGAAAGTCTTTTGAAGATAAAACATTTCTCAGGGAATGAAATATGTACAGAGTTCTCACACATGACAGTGTCTCCTATTTATTTTCCTCTACCAGCGGCAAGATATGCTTAATACAGATACTCTATACACATCTTTATGTTGGAAAACGTTTGAAACAAACAATTTACTTAATATGTATGGATGTACATATATGTATATATATATATATATGTAGGTAGGTATAATTGTGAAAATAATTCAAATTTGCGAAGCTTGTTTTTAAGCATTTAAGTCGGTCAGCAGTTCTAATCAGAACACAAAGGCGTACACAAAAATATACATACATACATATGCATGTATACAGCCCCCAAGTTTCTATGTGTACTGAGCGAAGGTCAAGATCCAGAAATTTTTTGAATTGTAATTAAAATTAAGTAATATACATTTGTACATACACATATATATATTTATATATATACTTACATATGTATGTATATATACATATGTATATCCATATGGATGTATGTACATAAATGGTTTTTTTCTGGCTAACATTTGTCTGGACTGGTTGAACTTTGGACATTTGTTATACTATGAAAACACATTTCCTATGCAGAGCTGAAATATTTTCCAAAGAATTTGAAATTTAATTTTTTCTCTTTTTATTGGTATTTTTCTAATATGCAATTACTGCAAATTGATTTGTAGGTACATGAGTATAAAGATTGCGCCTAATAAAAAATTATGTATTAATTGAAAAACAGTACATGCCTGAGTATAAATGTATGTATATGTACGTGTATGTACATATGTAGACGCTGATGAAGTTCACAACGAAAGTAAGAAATGACGGACAATACAAAGCACATCCATACATACACAATATATATTTTATTGCATACTCGGTTAATGAAATGCGTAGAGAAGGTGAGCGAATAACGCTCTCACTCTCAAATCACGCTAAAACACATTATATAATCATCGGACGAGGAGAGTCATGCACTCGAGTGCATCGGCATTTGTGACCGCATAGACGATGCAATACATACAAAGCACATATATGTACATATACGCATATATGTATGCATGTACAAATGCATTCAGTAGTTCACCAGATACATATAAACACCACCTCGGGCTAGACTAAAATGATCTTCAGCCGGTATATTGATAAGAGTACATACATACATATAAAATGCAATGTGGGGAAATTTTAATGCATTTGTATGCACATTTCGAGTACGTGCAATTCCTGTATAAATATATACATGTATATATATATAATATAAATGTTTAAGTATACGTAAGAGAGAACTCCCTTTTGCATTTTTACCCGGCATTGTAGAGCTGGTTTCGTGGTGTTCAGTAGAAAACAGTATGAGATATTTATGTACATAACAAATGTATACCTTATATACTAATTGCTTGAAGAGCGAGGCCATAAATAACGATTGGCGTGAAATTAAAGTGCAAACTAATTGATTTAATTGCCTTATCAAAACTGAAAGCAGATCAAATTTGATTTTTTCTATCAAAAATGCATTTGTTTAATATTGAGACAACATTAATTGCAAACAAAAATGTTGTTGTGTTTGTAACCGTAAAAATATGCCAAAAGTAGTTGTAATCCGGGTCATACGGGGATAAAGACCCAACCGTCGGTGGAACTATTGGCTTTTAGTCACCTCTTAGATCATTTTTGGACGGGTTTTTGACCTAAAACCTCATATCTGAACAAACGAATTGTAAGGGAGATGTAGATATAGTTCTGCGATTTCCATGATTTTCGGCACCCTCATATTACAAAATTTCACGGTCTTAGATGCTTTTTCGACAAATGTGTGACGCAAAATCCCAAGTCTCAAACATCGATCCCATACATAAAAATAGACGTCCTATTCCACCGGTTCCTAAAAATTATCATTCCAAAACTAGTTTACGTATAAACAGTTGAAGCAGTTCAACAGACGGGCTTGGCAAATCAAGTCAAATTATCAATTTGAATGGATCGGTATAAATTTGATCTCTCCACTTTATGGAAAAGAACTATCTTTTTTTATGAATTCTTATAATGCAAAATATATATATATATTTGAATAAAAAAATTTATTAAAAAAATTGTGCATTAAATTTTCTATTCCAAATACATATGTGCGTAGATGTATGCATGTATAACATAGGCAGCACTTCCCAACACAATTAGAAAAGGTTAAAAATTTCGCTATGTTACAAAGCTCTGCAGGAAACTCTTTCCACCGTTTAGGTATTGGGTAGAAAGCAAGGCAATGGTAAATAAAATAATCGGCAATTTCCTGTTAATCTCTCACTTTAACCTGTTTTTAGCTTTAATAGAATATTTATGTCGTCATTTTCGATTTGCCCTCTGCGTCTGGTTGAACAAAATCACTTGTACAGTATGTAGTTTATGACCGTAACACATTATTTATTATAATTTATTTTCATATAATCAATGAACAATACGAAACACAATGATCTATGCAGAAATACGCAAGAAAGGCAAAATAAAAAATACGCAACCAAATTGTATGTACATATATATATGTACTTGTATTAATACAGCGGCATACATTGAAATAGAAACACGAAAAAATGCGTTTAAGGAAGAAAAGAAAGAAAAAAAGACATATTTTCATTTTTTTTATACATACATACATATATATAAAACAAAAAAATACATTTTTCAAACTATTTACTGTACTAAAGATTTATATTTGAAAAGAATTTCAGAAATTTTCAAAGGAAAATATTTATAGCCCCGACATTGTGTTGTCATTTCCGGTGACATTTCGGAAAAAAGGTACTTCTGTGTTGGCAGTAAAAAGAAATCACACCTTAGTTTGAACTAGAAGTTTGAAACGAAAAATTGGATTAAGAAGAAGACAAAAGTTCACATTTTTGATCAAACTTTTTTAAGAAGAATAAAAAATATATATATACTACGTCCGATTCCTCGTCAATTGTATCTCGAAGAGCTGTGTGAAATTCCATCAAGATCCGTTAAGTGCTTTTAAAGAAATTTTGACAAGCGACTTTGAAAACACTGTTTCAAGAATAATAAGCTTATATAATGGAGCCGACTTGCCTTTGAGCACGCAAATTCCCAAGGCTAGATCTACCAAAATTTTAAAGACTTGAAAATAACATAATATTCACGAGAGAAATAAGGAAGTAAGCATGAAAAACATGTATTAATTTATAAAAATACTATCACTAGCAGAAAAATAAATTTACTAAATATAGTTCAATAAAATAGGCGGCCGCGGTAGCAAAGTGGTTACCATTGCGTACTGCCATTCGGAAGACTCGGGTTCAAATCCTGGTACGGCCAACATCCAAGTTATAGATAATTAATTTAAA